TACTTTTCTTTCTTTCTTTCTTTCTTTCTTTCTTTTCTCTCGTACAACCGATTTGGTATTATCAAATGTCGTATCATTGTTCGGATTTCGGTGCTTTCGATGATCACTGCGGGGCAACCACTATTGCGACTGGTCGATGTCGTTATGTTACAAGTAACGGATGATAATAATCATGATAAAGATAATTAATAACAGTAATAGCAATAATAATAATAATAATAACAATGATAATAATAATAGTAATAATAATAATAATAATAATAACGATAACGAATAATAGTCTGCGTGCGCCGATTTTTTTTTTAATTAGCGTTAATGATGATAATAGTAGCGTTGTATACAGTGCACACTAATTCCCCGACGGTTACAGATTCACGGAAAAATGTAAATTAAAAAAAAGAATGTCGGATCACTGGTCTCTCAATTAGCAATGCCCTTTTTGTTAAGTGTTTCTCTCACTGGTTGGCTGTCTCGCTCGCGCATCGTACGTTCCCATTCGTTCTCTCTTTCTTTCGCTCGTTCTCTCGCTCTCGTTCACCCTCTCTCTCGCTCTCTCACTCTCACTCACTCACTCTCTCTCTCTCTCTCTCTCTCTCCCCTTTAGCCATCGTTCATTTAAATTGCGGACTAGAATTTAATCGAAGATTAAAATTTAATCTTGTAAATACAAGTTTGATTCGTAATATCGAGGATAATTTTTGTCCCTTTTCACTCTCATACAAGCACAAGCATTCACCCTCACTTCCTCTCCCTTCTGAAGCATCGATAGTGTACGGTAATTTTCGTAATTATGCTCTTCGGATGGCGCCACGCGTACCAACCTTAACGCTGCGTTCCCGCACGCGCACAGTACACTATCCGTTCGACGTTTGAAATGCAGCGTTAAAGCGATCGCGGTGAACAGCCATTTCGCCCCTTAGTTCTGCGTGGATATACCGCTATTAGAGAGTTAAGTGTGGTAATTAAGTATAATATACAAGATCATGTATATGTAATGTTTTGCATGTTTTCCGAGTGCTCCCCCTCTCTTCTTCTTCTTCTTCTTCTTCTTCTTCTTCTTCTTCTTCTTCTTCTTCTTCTTCTCTCTTCTCCTTTCATTTTGTACAGTTATTTACATGTGGATGCGAGCTCACGGTGCCACGCTCTTTAATCGTCCGGTTTAAAGATACCGGGCGTATCCTCGTCGCGTAAAAGAAGGCCTCCGGCCCACCCGGCACGTCGCTCTTTTATTTTATCATCGCATATAAGCTCTATCACATTGGCTTTACAAGCCGTGTTGTTATCGCGTTAAGGATTCGAATGGTAATAAAATAATACAATATAATCAATAATAATAATATTAATAAAATAGTAGTGATAACGTAAGCCTAATAATACGGTAATATTGGTAGTAACTGATAACCTCGGTCATTCACACACACAGACACACGCGCGTGCACTCTCTCTCTCTCTCTCTCTCTCTTTTCTTCAACGTGAGAATAGAAATAAAAACATAAAAATCTATTCGCAAATGGACAGATTTTCATTTTAATCCCGCTTTAATTAATCTGCTTGCCCCGTTCAAGGAAATAGCAAACGGAAATCACTCGTACGCTGAAATTGATAATAGTGCATAACCGATTACTGGGTGATTAGTGCTTGCTCTTCCATAAGTCGGTGGGCAAGCAAAAAAGGCAGGAATAAGGGGACAAAAGTACGAGCGTTCTCCTTTTACGAAAGACAACGCGTCTATAACCGAACAGACGAAAAAAGGTACGTAGTGGGAGAGCGGAGTGTTAATAACATTAACAGCTTAACGACTATGGGACAGGAGAAGTGTATAAACAATATAACATGAATCACAATTATGCAATAATTATTAATCGCTCATCTTGTCGCGTAATTAGATAAAATTAATAATAATTTGATCTAACAACTCTGGTTACTCGTAGATTGCACTCTATGAACCCGAACCATTTCCGTTTCTATATCTCTTCTCTCTCTCTCTCTCTCTCTTTCTCTCTGATTCTCTCCAGTTCCTTTTTCTCTTACTTCACGATCCTTTTTCTTTTAAACGAGATTCACTCGAGAAACGGAAGCGGGCCAGGCTCTATTCGGATTTCGAGCGATTGCACGACAGTCGCGTCGCGTCACAGTCTTCTAACAATACGAATCCACGAAACGTAGCAACTATGCACATCACACTATCCCCATCCTCGCACAGATTACAACGTTGTTACGAAAAAAAAGAGTCCTTTTGATTGAGCTCCGTATTCTTTTCTCAAGCAGCCTAAAGGTTTCACCGACTGTTCAGTTTTCTGCACACTGCTGTCTTTTTTTTTTTTTTTCGTTCATTCGTCCATTTCTCTCCTTTTTTTCTTTCACTTTGTATTCTACTTTGTATACGCCTCTCTATGATAATGCCCTCATGGTAGGCAGGAATCGACCAATCAGGCCTCCTGGTCGAATCCTATGACTGGTTTGTTTCCTCTCTAAGAACTTAACTAGGCCGTAGTAGTCCTTACGTTCGCAGCATTGTTTTGGCATGTCTCGACAACGTCCATCCCTTTTTGATCTCTCGTGAAGTATCCCGTGGACCGAGCGTTCATTTAATAGTCCCACGTTTCTTCTGGTTCGTGTTTCACTACGCTCTCCTTCGGGCTCTCCTCGGTGGACTGTTGCGTCTGCTGCGTGGAGGGCGGCCTAGGCGACGTCACAGGACTGTTCTGTCCAGACTTAGGACTGGGCAGAGGACTATCCCGATCCTGGCCATTGTTCCCAGAGACGGAGGATACGTCACTCTGCACATCCTCCTCGTATCTATCCTGCACCGGAGTCGGTTCCACCCTGATCGTCTCCTCAGCTTCTCTCTTCACTCCGTAATCGTCGGTCTGCATCACACAAACACCGTTGATGATCACCTCGTCGCCCGTTCTTACCGGCTCTTGCCACTCCGGGTTCACCCACTGTGGGGCGGCAGGTTTCCTCCTGTTCGATCTGACCGTCGTCGGCGCTGTAGGCGTCTCCGCGGGCTCCCTTTTTATACTACCCGCTGATCCCTCAGAGTCTTCGCTGCCCAGGTTGCTCATCGCGTCCTCCACGTCCTCGTCTTCAAACTCCTGATTCGGTTCTCTCTTCAGCGCGTTCATCGACAGATCTAAACCCGAGCACTGCTCTTTCAGCGCGTTCCCCACTAAGGCAGCCAGATTCGGGTTGAAATAGGGAGTGTAAGGCAAAGGTACGTTGCCCAGACCCAGTCTCTCCTTCTGGATCTCCAGCAGTCTTTGGTTTAACAGTAATCTGAATTGAACTGGGTCGAACGGTTGCCCAGGCTCCCTAGGGGACTGAGGCTCGGGTTGCCCGTGCGGCGTTTGTTGCTTCAGTCTCATCCGATGATTGTGAAACCAGTTGGTTATCGTCCGCGAGGACAACGCCAGCTCACCAGCCAGAAATTCGATGGTAGCTACGTTCGGATACGGGTCGAGGGCGAACGCGAGTCTCAGAGCTTCTTTCTGCTCCTCCGAGAAGAGAACTCGTTGCTTCTTCGCGGAGGCTGGTCCTGGACCAGGCGACGCCGCGTGATAGAATTCGGCTGTGTCGTTACTCGAGGTGTCCGAGCTGTTGTCGTGACCTGGACCACTGCTACGCCTTCTTTTGTTCGCTTCCCGACGCTCGTTCTTCAACGCCTGCAACCGATCAACGTTGTGCGCATCTGATAGCCAAAGTTGCATCCTGATGAATGGCTCCCTGCCCTTTATGCTCAGCATGTGCCATGGTTTCGGTTTGCTCAGCAATTCGCTCACCGATCCTTGCGACAATCCCAGCACAGCCTCGCCGAAGATCTTCTGGCCGATGTTGTTCGCCAGTAACGCTTCTTTGATCTTCGTGGTGATCGTCTGGGTGTCTAAGTCCTGCGTTAACGCGGCCATTTCGTACACGCTGGGCGAGATGTGCGGATGAAGACCACGGAGAGGCGACGGTGTCATCTGATGATGAGGCGAGTGAAGGTTCAACTGCTGTTGCTGTTGCTGCTGTTGTTGCTGCTGCTGCTGCTGCTTCTTCTGCAGCTCCTGCATACTGAGCTGAGCGTGAGGATGATGAGGACCTGGCGGCGTTAACATCATCGGTGGTGGTGGTTGAGGGTGTTGAGGATGCTGAGGGCTCTGCTGAGGGGGACCAAGCTGCAACTGGCTCTCCTGTTGATGTTGCGCCGCTGCCTGAGCGGCTGCCTGCGCAGCTGCTTGCGCCTTCGCGGCGTTCTGAAGCTGCTCCTGGACCAGTTTCGTCGGAGGCATCGGCTTCATTGGTGTTCCGCAGGCTGTGAAAACACGCGAAACAGAACGTTGAACTATCACCGGACACGAGACTTTCGTATTATAGTCCGAAAGCTCACTTTGGCTGACGCGTCGGAATGTTGCTTCGTTACAGACTTACAGGGAGGGTGACTAATTGTAAATTGCTAATTTTTGCCGGGAAAAAAGTTAGCACGACGGTAAATTTTACGAATTCTTACATTTATGCATCTAGGTTAATTCTTGATTTAACTGTTACATCGAGGTCAGCGAAAAAAGTGAATTGTGACGAAGATGATATTTGTGAAACAAATAACATCACGTTCAACCTTCTCTATTTTGACCGATTTAAACAAACTTTTGATTTTATTTTCTGGCAGTCTGTCCCGTTCCTGTCTAATGCATTCTTTTAATTCTGTAACAGTATTGAATTGTCGATTATCGCGAGAGTTCTCTCCCCAACAGTTTTCTATGATATTTAAATCAGGTGACCTAGCATGCCAGACGAGCACAGATATATTTGCAGACGCCAAGAATGCTTCCACAATGGCTGCCTTATGAACAGATACATTATCCTATTGGAATATCAAATCTGGTCCGCCATTCTTAATCTGCTCTTCAATTACTTTTTTATATGTTACGGTATTCATTAACCGGATAAGAAATTGTATATCTGTTCATTGTAGCCAGTTTTAGCTTAAATCACTATACTGCCTCCAAATGTTCTCTTCTAATATCGTGAAAATAATAATTTAAAATATCCGTTACTACTTCAATTTCCTTCTTAAACTGAATCATACTGAAATTACATTTTTCCCAAATATACGTAACTGAGTTCACGACCACGTCAACTATAACGTATTATACGAGTTCATTGACCTCAAAGGATTAAAAAGCGTATTCAGAAAATTGAGAGAAAATGAAAGACATCAGAATTTCTAAACACGAGAGTGAAGCGCGTGAAAAATGAAACGACATCAGTTCCATCGAAATAGGCGATTTGCAATTAGCCATTCTCCCTCGCAGAATCTCTGTCCTCTAATAAACGTCTCTATGTCACTCGATTGAACACGTGTCGCTTTTGTGATAGAGCAGCATTCGGTACACAGTATCGAGCTCCCAAACTATGTTGTTTTAGTAAAATAACAAAACATCTATATTGACCTGAGTTAAACTTACGAGGCAGGCCACCGTAGCCGCCGGTCCTCATCAGCTTCTCCGGAGCGATCTTGTATTGGCTGGCCACCAGCTTGTGCACCGCGTTGTCATCCTCGAGGAACATCTTCATCCTAATGAAGGGCTCGCGGCCTTTCTGCGTCAGCATGTGCCAGGGCTTAGGACGCGCCAGCAGATCGGACACGGATCCCTGAGACAAACCCAATACTGATTCACCGAACAGACGTTGCGAGATGGAATACTGAGACAGCTGTTCCTTCACCTGAAACGACCAATGTTCGTCATAAGCCAAGTCACGTGCAATACTTGACGACAAATATCGACCAGTTCAACTTACTCTCTTCACGATGTCCTCCGTGTTCAAGTTATTGTACATGTCGAACTGCTGCTGTGTAATGGGTGGAAGTACTGCTTTCAGCGGCCTTTGATTGGCCGCGTGATGGGTAGGCGTGGACGGTTGACTGATCAGACTATTCGTGATAGAGGCCATCCTCTGAAGAGGGCTGGCCGCTGCTGCGCTAGAGAATTCTTCGCTAGGTGTCATCGCCGGTGGAAGAATCGAGTTGCCAAGAGGTGAACTTGCGCTAGATCCACCTGGCGTTGATTGTGGTGCAGTGGTGGGTTCCTGTTTCGGCCTGACCAATGAGAACGCGCTACCCGCGTGTCTCATCACTTCCTCCATCTTCTCCTTCTCCTCCTCGGACACGCCGTTTATCATTTTGTTCCTGGGATCCACCTTGCCCAGGCTTAGATCTTGCACACCTCCGCCGTTCGTCGCCAAATGATGTTGTTGAAGAGCTTGTTGTTGAAGCGCCAGTAGGCCAGGTAGACCAGGCAGTCCTGGTAGTCCAGTTAGCGACGGATTCTGCCCCGGTGTCGCGTTCAGCTTCTGCAGTTCACGATGGTACGCGTCCAGTGCCAGCCGAATGTCTTCCTGTGTACGCTCTATGCCCTGAAGACCACCTTGCGCGCCGCTGAAAAAGTGCGGAAACATCGCGCTACAATTAATCGAGGTCTCGTGCTGTCCTCAATAATGATCAATCGTGGGGATTTGCTGACAATAAGCCCGTGTAATCTGAGCTTTGCGCCAAAGAAGCAGACCGTTTCGTGTTTACACCTGACATTTCTGGTGTTAAGTAACGAAACAGATATAGCGTGTAGCATATTAATTTTAGCCGCATACGTCATCTGTTCAGCATAGTTTCTGTATGCGCGGCCACGGTTCAGCCGTGACTCAGATGATCTATGGGATCAGACTAACCGAACGGTTCGTGTGTATAGAGATACTCTAAGCTCGGTACGTATAGCGAGTTACTCAGGCAACGTCTCTGTAAGCGTGTGTCGATTGTTCGAGCCTCACCTGGAAGAGAACTCTCGAGGTCCACGTAGATCCTCTACTCTTCTACCCATGAGCTTGGCTAGCTCCTCCTGATAGATCCTGACTACCTTTTCCTGCGGAATGTCATCGTTCTCGTACTTCTTCAGTCTCCTATTCTGACTGTCGAGCCTATCTTTGTTAAAGGGGCTTGGGCAACCGATCCTGTTTGGACTCTTACTGTCAGCATCGTTCGACACCTCGTGCTCGCCCCTCATCTGTAGATGGCCTGATTCCGAGAGGATGTGAGCCAACCTTTCGTCACTCATTTCTGGCGGACCACCTTCCTGTGGACCGCGCGCGAACGCTGGCATTCCTTGCTCCTTGCCTGAAACATACTCTACGGGTGAGGCACAACTTGTGGTGCGTTCTTACTCGGTTTCTTCTTAAATGTATACGTACATATAAATATATATACAGAAAGAATGTAAAAATGTTAGGGAACCTAAGGACATCTCTTGGGTAAATAATAATTTAGCGATATTTGACTAGCGTAACGAAATCATTTTCTGGACTCTCGGTTTTGGTGTTCTCGTAGTTGCAACACCAGGCACTTATTAACGCTCTTGTAACTTCAATTTCGTCACTTTATAGCGTAAAAATTTTCATGTGTTGAATTTTCGAGTGCGAACACCCGAATGGAATATTCGAAACTATCGTCTAGCGAAGGAATCTTTTGTGCAAAAAGAATTTTCTCGATATTTTTCTACGAAAAATTCAGAGATTTGTTAAAATTTTTCTAGAATTTTCATATCTTCGATTTTCCAGTGTGAAGCACACTAATGAAATGTTCGAAACTATCGTGCGCAGCAACGAAATTTTTCGAAGAAAAGAATTTTCTTCTGTGAAAAATTCAGAATTGAAATATCTTCGACTATCGGTGCTTTTTAATATCGATCGTTAGAGCAAACGATGCTTCATAAGGAAGGAGAGCCACGAACTTAATCAAATCTGAGGGTTGATTCCACATTCGATCGAACGTGGAAGCAATTAATACAGGGCAAAATCAATAACAGCGGGTTCCAAGCCGAAGGCAAAGGCATAACCCCACGACGATAATTAAAATATCCTTTTCTGAGGCCTCGCCCTAGTGCATCTCCACCCCCATATCTAACCAAGAGTGTACTTCTACGTGTTTCCCATCTAATTGACCAATCAGCCGTAAGATTCAGACGAATGAACCATCGATCATGTCTTTGATTGCTTCGATGCCCTTGCCTCCTCGCTTCCGCGAATATTCTAGTCATGGATCGACGCGTTTTCAACCCGTGGAATAGAAGGAAATAATACAGGGTGTCGTGTAAGTAGTGGTACAAGTGGAAAAATGCCGATTCTACGTGAGAAAATTAATGGAAAATGAAGAATAAAATTGTTAAGAAAAATACAGGGAAATTAATGGAGAACGAAGAATGAAATTAGCAAAGGAAATTATGGCGAAATTCGTTAAGTTGAGACGTTATTTTCTATTTTCAATTTATTTTCCTAAGTATTTTTTAAATTCTCTTTTTTTTTTTCATCAAATTTCTGTCACACGAAATAGAAATCGATGTTTCAAAGAGAATTTACCGATGGGCGTTAAACTTGGCGAACGGTGTCATTTGCTTATCTGTTTTCACTTTGATATCTCGATGCATAAAACATAGGAAGAACCTATACCATTATTCTAGCGACTGTTACATATTAAATACCCTATTTTCTATCCAAATCCACCGAACTTCGGTTCGAGAAGTTGCAACTTTTGTCTCTGATCCTAACGTGCTACGACGAGGTCTCATCGAATAATATTCGAACGACTTCAATTTCAAATTCTATCCTTTCCCGTAGGAATCCATTTCAATTTTAACGTCGACTTTTTCTGCCGAGGTCCAATTCAAACGATATCCATTGAATGATCGGTCTAATAATTCGAATAATTCGAACCACTTCGATTCCAAATTCCATACTCTTCCGTAGGGATAAGGAAATTTCAATTTTCATTTCGACAATTCGAATAATTCGGTTCCAAATTCCATCCTCTTCCGTAGGAAAAAGAAAATTTCAATTTTCATTTCGACAATTCGAATAATTCGAACCACTTCGATTCCAAATTCCATAAAATAAAATTTCAATTTTAACTTCGACTCATTTCGATTCCAAATTCCATTCCAACTTCCACTTTACACCTCTCCGCAAAGATCAATTTTATCTTCGACTTCACACTTTCCTATAAAGAACCAATTTCAACGTTGACCTTTTTCAAATACAATTACATCAGAAGCGTAACGCAGTGTGGAAAGGTGGAAGGAAGAGATTAATGGAACATCGACATCGGAATGTAGACGATGATCCAAGAAACTGATGTTGTAGTTATTATTGCAAGAATATTGGTCGACGGGGAATGTTTCAAGAAATCGACATCGCAGTGGGTGGAAACATTACGAGGACAATGACGACACTAAGGTTCGTGTTTGTCGCAGAAACCAACTATTGTACATATACACACACGTTACCTGCACGCGTGTATTGTGTCGTGACGTTTGAATTCGTGCCAACAGACTTCGACTTATGCCAACCTCTTTCTGTATCTATGCGATATTTTCTTGGGGCTGCGACAACCTCTTCGCGAAAGAATCAGCTGGTTACGAAGCTGACATAATTACCAATGGAAATTCAATTCGAGCAATAGAAATGTATTACAATGCACAGTGTGCGGACTTACAGAACTCGACCACTTTGAATCATTTTTAAAATATGTTCTATAAAATAGTGTCTTGTATCGCGATCATGAAACAATTTTTCAAAATCAAGTATTTGTTTAAGAGATTTCAACGTGACTTTGAATTTTTTTTTCATCGAAACGCTTGTTAATTTTGTGTATCAAAATTTCAATAGCAAATATTAGGAATAAACAGAAGTCGCAAATTATTCGCAGTGAATCTTTCATTATTCTAAAAAAAAAATTGAAAATTATTCTTTTCTAATTTCTAAAGAAACGTTGTGTTTTGGGAATTATTTGAAATTTTAGATACACCGTGTTTCTTTCGAAAAATAATACATTTCATGAAAAATATACACTTTGTTAAGACTAGTATCGTTACTTGGAAATATACAAAAATCGTTAGTTTTCAAAAGTCATTAGCCTCCGACGGTAATTAAAAACACTTTGAGCGTACTTGCACGAAACTGTTCACCATCGACGTTGAATTCCCTTCTACTGAAAAAAAATTCTACACCAACGTGAAAACCCGTCTGTGGCTAATTAGACAAAGAATAATATCCAAGGTGTCGCGAGCACGTTGTTTCCGTTGCGCACGCAGTCCTACCACCATTCGTTTCTCTCCCGGATGATGAAACGTCACGGTTCGTTCGTTCAGATCGCACCACGGCATCAAAAAACCAACTCACAAGAATCGTCAAGAGAGAAAGAACAATCGAGTCTGCGAGGACAATGGCCAGAATGGACAAGAAATCCATATTGCACGGAGAAAGGAGACGATATCTCGTGATAATTATTTGTCACACAGGGTATGTACGTAGATATCGGAGGTTGCGATCTTGGATATTTTTCGGTACCTGCTTACCTACAGCAGGAAATGGTAGATTACAAAATTTCCAACAATTTCGTGAGAATTCGTGTCGACGAATGTGCAACTTAGGCGAGGTAAAGGGGCTGTTACAAACGAACGCGTGTGTTCTCAATTACAATGTTTCTTACGCCAACCGCGATTGTTGGTTGACCCATGGAAAATACACGTGTCTTACGGCCCGGAGTCCGTATAACAGATCGGGCACGATGAAAGAAAAATACGACTCCTGCGAAATGGCGTGTGCGAGTCCTTGTATTTTTCGACTGCGAGCGGAACAATAGGTTTGGTTGGGCAAGAAAAATGGAACAACGAGGTTTGAATATCGATGGGAACTGGGCTTCGGTTTCTTGCGAAGTTTTCCTTTTACCTTGTGAGACTGGTAGTGATACGAAATTTAGGAAAGTTTTTTTCTCTTTTCCAAACACTTTTGATAATTGTTTCTTTTTTTTTATTTGAAGACATTTATTTGTAACTGTTAGTTGAAGACTTCGAATAACGAATAATTCGAATTTACTCGATATTCGAAATAACTTTTGCTCAACACTGGATGGACCTTTACAAATACTGCGCTGATTTTTATAAAATGGAAGTAAAGATTAGATTGCAAAGATTATTTCTTCTAATAATTTGATTAAAATTAGAAAAATATTTTTTGTCCCTCAAGATCGTTAAGATACTACTTTTTACATCATACTAAGCAGCATCGTGCATCGCATGGTTATTTCAACTGCACGAATCGAACGGCAAACCACTCTAACTTCGTCAATCATAATATTAATTTATTTAGCCAATCCCTAGCAACTTTAAGACACTCCTTGACCCTTTCGTTACTGTTGCCGCCCTACAGGCGTTTCGAAAATTTGCTCGCGCTGTATTGGAGCCTCTTGGTGCACCTTTACCTTAATTTAATACCTAATCTTATCCTTCACGCATTTTCACCTTAATAGAACGATACGGCCAAAATAACAAATTTCAACGCATTCTAAAGGGTTAAAAAGCGCCTCAAAACACTTCTCTTAAACCTTCGTTCCTCTTTTTCTTTGTTCTTTCTCCCCTACGTTGTATCATTTTTTTTACCAAAGGGTATATTCCGTGAAGATAAATAATAGATAAACTGCATCGCAGAGGATATTCGAACGGGCAGAAATAGAAGACTCAATTAGAGTTTCTCTGAAAGATTTTGTTGCACGAACCATTTTACAATCCCCACGAACGATGATGAGGATCTAAAGAAGTCGCATAAAAATATACGTGTACACGTAACGGAGAGATCTGCGATATTCGTATTGAACAACATAATTGGGTTGATTTTTAAGATCCAACGTAAGGCTGCGCAATATCCGCGGTTTCCAACGACGACAGAGGCTACATGCATTCGTACGAACGATGGCTCCGGGAGGTGGAAGGATACAACCGGGACAGAAAATCTGATAAAATCGCTATATGAACCAGAGTAGCCTTGCTAATGAACGTAACTCTTTCGCGTTGCGCCAGTACACCAGTAGCTCTTTCTCTTCCACACAAGCAAGACGTGCGTGGCTGCATATAGCGCGTTTAATTGACGGTGAAATACGCGACTGCGAGGCACCGTTGGGGGTTCCTACTTTGAATTAAGCCCCGCAATACCAAGAAAACGTTTGTCGAAAACGAAATTCTGAATTGCCGGTGTTACACTTGCGAAATAATCATTAAAACTCGACGTCTGTGTCAACGACAAGTGTCCACAGGCTACTTATACAGTTTTCTCGGGCGAAAGGTACGACGAAATCAGAAC